GTATAAATAAATAAAAAATACATTTTTTTCTTCATTTCAAAATATATGATTTTTAAAAAAAAATTATATTTAAATATATGATGTTTTGTATAAAAAAGTTATATGACATTAAAATTATATTAATTATATTTTTATTAATTATATCTCTATCTTTTTAATTATGTTTATTATAAGAAAAGAAATAATAAATTTAAGAATATTAAAATAATAAAAAGATTAATAAAAATTATTAAAAAATAATAAGAATTAATGTTTATATTAAATTGTGTAACTAAATCTTAAATTATTTATATTTTGAAAAAATTAAATATATTGTAAATCTTTTACACGTTATTTAAATTTTCTATTTATATTTAACATAAAATTTCAATACGATATATAAATAATTTTTATAATTTTTTTTATTAACAATATAAGATTTCAATTTAAACATGTATCTCAACCGTGGAGAATTGTTTGAATGATATAACCCCAATTATAGATTAGCATTAAATTTTGATGATAATAACAAAAAAAATTAGCACTCTACCAAGTTAATGCCGTACCAACTTTCCAGACATGAACAGAATACTAGTTAACCCTAATTGCTATATAGCTCATGACAAATTAATTGAAAAACGAAGAAATCAACTCATTACATTTAAATGCCACCCCATTCTTGAGAAAGAACAAAAACAAAATTAGCAGTGCCAGTTCATAATGAGAACAACACTTATGCGTGTGTTAGAAGAGTATTATTTGCATGCTCTCTCGTCTATCCTTAAATCATAACCATGTGGGGTAATAGAGTTAATTAACATTTTCCTCTTTGGGATTCTATATTCCCTCGTGGGATTGGTTAGGCACATGTACGAACCAAAGCATTGATGAGTGCCACGTTGAGTGTTTTGACTTGTTATGAAAAACAACTCGTAATTAGTGAGTTTCGTTCCCAGCTAGCTAGTTGACTATAGACAAGACACTCGTACATACCGATTAATATGCATTCACACACACAAGAGTGTCTCAATTCAAATGGAACATGTATAACAAAAGTTACGCATGTTGTATTTTATTTGAAAAATAGTGCCAAAATGCTTTTCAAATAGTGCTACAAACTTAATTTTTGTCCTTCACTTCATTGCCTACCTACAATGCTACTTTGATTTCTCCAACCCTATCCTTTATCAAGGAGTAATGATAAATCAATCATTCTTTAACATTCATGGTTTCTCTCTCTCTGTTTATCACTTTTTATCATATTATATCACTTATTATAACTGCCATACGTGTTCACGAGTGTTTTTGTCTGTGATTTGATGCATGAGAGGAAGCATTTATGATGACTCCCCAGCTCATATGTGCATGAAAAAGTAGAGGCACTGAGTGAACACAAATAACTCGTCTATAGTTTTTCAATACATATTTAAAGTATAATTTAAAAGAAAAAGTAAAATTATATTATTTACGAGAGAATATGAGATGAGAAATCACCCCGTAAATAAAATTTTTCTTTTATTTTTTATTTTTTTAAATAAATACAATATTTATTTTATAAATAACTTAAAATGATTTATTTTGTTACTAGTGTATTATATATTAATATTTTTTATTTCTAGAAAATATTATTGTTTATTTTTTATATTTAAAAAGAGATATTATAATTTTTTTCGATAATAAAATTTTTTTCTTATATATTATTGATTTTATTTTTCTTTTTTCATATTTTATTTTAGTTGTGAGTTCTTATCTTATTATTCTTATCCTTAATAAGGTAGAGTACAATTAGTGTAGGTAAGAGAATTTTACCTCCAAAATTTTCGTAACAAGGTTTTAGATAAGTGAGCATATCGAAGATGATATAATTAAAGTTACTACTCGATATTAATGATTAAGAAATGTTTTCATTGTTAAAGGTGATGTACCAAAGAAAATCACAGTTAGAGAAATATTTGATAATTTAAATATGAGTTGAAATCTCATATTAAAAAAAAAAAGGAAAACGATAACTTATTATTTTAACCCTTTAAAATATAAAAAAATTATAAATTAAAAGTATAAAATAAATAATTATAAAAAAGATTTTATTAATAACTAGACAACGAGACAAAAATAACATTATGTGAGATTTTAGAATGTTGGAATTATATGATTTTAGAATGTTGGAATTATATGATGATATTTATTTATGGAGGTATTTTGTTATCAATAAAACTTCCGGATGCTTGCAACTTCAATCATTTTCTTATCGATTGGGTCTAGGAGTTGTTGTCTAATCAAGTTTTGTGGAAGTGATTTAAAGAAGGTTAGCTTAATACACCATGTTTTAAGTGATATATAACATGTTATAAAAAAAAAATTGTGTTCCATCCTAAGTTAAATTTAAAGTCACAACAAATAGTTATTTCATCTTTTCATGATTTTGGAGACGCGAAACCATTCTCGTTTTGTCTAAATTCATCGTTCTTTAATTATATTTTACAATAATTGAACTCTCAAATCCTTTTCATAAATTTAATGTGCATTACCATATCCACCCTATTGTACTCATTTATGTCACGCAAGACAAATTTGAACTACCAAGTAATTTTCATAAAAGAAAAACTTGCATCAAAATTTCAATTTTTGCAAGTAAATATTACAATTTTTTTCCCAAAGATTCTTCTGAAGCTGGTTCAAAATATATAATTTTGTTTTTTTACAAGAATGACCCTTTTTTTAATACTATTATCCCTCTGTATCCCCAGCAAAACATAATTATAATTATATTTTTCATTTAGTGAATTCCAAAATCCTAAACCCGAATTCACAGCTTACTATTTTTTTAAAATATGTTTTGAATTTGTGATTTTAACATTCTGATTTTTTTTTTATTTTTTTTGTCAAATATGTTAAAATTATTTTTAAATAGTTATTTAGTTTTTTAAGATTTTTTTATTTGTAGTAAATAATTTTTTTTATATGGAATATAATTGAAGATACATTTTTTTCTTTTTAATTTTTCCATACTTATTCATAAATTATTATTTAAATATATTTGACTAATTAACCTTATTTGGACCCTCTGAATACATTTTTTTTGGGTAAGTATCTCCCGTAAGAGGCTAACCTGTCTGAGACATGGTCAAATGTATACCTTTTATAATAAAAAAATTAAAAATGTATTCATTATTTTGCAGAGAACCACACAAATACTATAATAATTGCACTGAACCTCAACTACATAATTAAGATTTAAATGAATAAACGAAATTATTTTTGGAAATGTCAAAATTGCACTGCAAATAATTGAGGACTAGTATTAAGTTTAAAAACTTTATTTTATAATAATCTTTAAATTTAATTATTTTTGTTCTTGCTAAAACAATAATACCTGAAATAATGTTTAAAAAAGCTGAGACAAATCAATATTTATCATGAAAATATTTATATGAACAATCTGATCTGAATCCAAGAGAGAAAAAACTAGTTCATCATTTATATATAATAATATATAATAAAATGATATAATTTATAATTTATAATTTTTTTATCAATACTATTTTAAGTGTTAAATATACTTATTAATATAAATCAATAAAATATTCTTTATATATTATTATTATAATACTTATTTAATATAAATATTTTGAAGAAATATTTATTATAAGATAATAAATATAATATAATAATCTGGCAGGTAAAAAATTTGATATTCATTTTTTATTTTAAATATAATATTTTATAGTTTAAAATTCATTTTATTTTTTATAATTTAATTATATCCCAAATATTTTATAATTATTTTATTTATAAGAAATTATAATTTTGATATTTTGCTCGATTTTTTTTAATTAAATATCCATACATTGAATATATTTTATTACATTAAAATAAAGAGATCTAATAATGCACCAATTAATTTTATATAAGAATTGTTGATATAGAATTATTTCATTGTAAAAGAACTTTCGATGCCATTATTTCATCATTTTTTTTATGAAAAATGATTAAAAGTGTGAATTTTTTTAATTCGCAACAGTGTACTCCTCAACCAGACCAACACAAGCAATTGGGCCAGTAAATCCATAGACGTACCCTTTTGCATCTCTTGCTTCCTGCACCTCCCATTACACTTTACCTAACATGTATTAAACATCTTATGGAGTATTTTGACATTTAAAAAAAAAAAAGTTTTGAAATCAATTTTAATTTGTAATGGAAAATTTATTATGTAATGATAAATTTAATTATTAGATATTTATAAATAATCAATTCAAATAGTTAAAAACTAATTTGAATTATGTATTTTAGAATTTTCATTCCAAAATATAATTTCTAGATATTTTTTGCAAAATATAATCTATAAAATTTGTAACACATTACAAACAATATTTTTCAGAAAATATAAATATTTTTAAAAAGGTACTTTTTACATGTAATAAGATGATACAGAAAGAAACTATAGAGGTGTAAAAAGCAAATTTATATAAGCAAACACATCATTTATTGAATAAAACTTAAATAGAAGTATTGAAATGATAAAAAAAAATGGAATTTACCATTAAATCACGATTGCTTGTTTATATTATCATTATTCAACCAATCTTCCAATACAATGTTGTATTGCTATTACTTTTTACTTTAATTTATTATTTTCTATTTACTACTTAATTTTCCACTTTTTAAAATATTACTAATTTCATTCCCCATAATTTTCTTTAGTTGATTACTCATTTAAATTTCACTTTTCACTTCAATTTATTATTATTCTTACTGATTTAACATCATTAATGATTTAGGTGACATGTTTGATGCATCACATAACATAAATCGGTGACGATGAGACACGTATGAATCAACAGATGATAACAAACATGGTAATTTCAGTAACCGCCTTTGCTATGGTATGAAGATTCCGAGAACTGTTTGTATTGTTACACCCTATCCTAACCTTAAACCCTAAACCCTATCAACAACGTTGGACTCTAATTGACCAAACCTTAACTTGGTTTTGTTGGTGCATGGTTCACTCATTCTCCATGGCCATCGCTACCTTAAAATTCGCCTGCAAACCCAATCTTCTTCTTCGATCCGCTCCCTTCCAATGCGTACGCAAGGTATCACCATATTTCAAAAAACCTCAGACTCATTCTCGTTTTTCATTGTCTTCTTTCCCTCTTTCAATTCTCTGTCTCTGTCTTTTTTATTTTCCTAGGTTGTGCCAAAATCTCTCCCTACTCTTGAGGTAGAGGAATGTAGGAGCTCAACTCGTGAACAAGGCAAGGGGACTAGCGAACAACTCATATTAGGTTTTTCTTTTTCAAATGCTTAGTTGGATTTTCTTGTATTGATTTATTGAAGCTGGTGATTCTGAAATATGCTTTCTTACATGTGTTGAATTGACGAAGAAAATAAAAGCAAGGTCCCGGCATGGAAGAAATTGGATTCCAAAGAGCTTGGACTTCGAAATTCCATGATAGCAGTTCCAACCAAAAAGGTTCTGAATGTGCTTAAGAAAAAGGGTACGTGCTCACTCCTCTTTTAGCTTTCTCAACCGGGTTTTTGTGTGGAATAGAGGATGGGCGTCTTTCTATTTTGTGTTTTCATCAAAGAGGCAAACAGCTGATTTGCGCGTGTTAGGTGCACTGCGTTTTGGGACTGAACTGTTTGTGGGGTGTATTCTTTTCTTTCTGAACATCTTGCCTTTCACTTGTATGTGAATGATTTCTTAATAATTCAGTTACCAATGGTTGTATCAAATAATTCAATGTGAAAAAAGAACCGGTTATAGTTCGTTCGTCTTGAACATCTCCCTGACCTTGTGCATAATTTGTGATATAACTAGAAGCCACTTAATTGTGACAAAGACATTGTATGCTTACGCTTTTAACAAGAATAGGGCATTTTTTGTAGATTTTTTTTTTCTGGCTGTGCCAGGCTATTCGATTGGAACTGTCCGTTTTACCAAGTAACTAATTATGGGTCTGGAAATATTAATCTTTACATTTGTTTTGTTATTGGTGTTTCTTTGTGCATTATTTAAGATAAGATTATGGATTCTATGTTTGTGTCTGCAAAGGGAGGGAAGTGCATGACTGGTAACCCGATTTTCTTCTTGTAGGGCATGATGTATACCTCGTTGGAGGCTGTGTTCGAGATCTTATACTAAAGCAAACACCAAAAGACTTTGATATTATAACTTCAGCGGACCTTAGAGAGGTTACCTTTATTTCTATTTTCATTTTCAAATTGTCGATGTGTGTACATGGCAGTTTACTGGACAACTCTGTGGACCAAGAGCTAAGTTATACGTAGCTAGAAGGGCAGCATGTGTTTTTATATTGGCTTCCAGAGTTTGTTATATGTGCATTTTCCATAATAGCTAATTTATAAAATCTCATTTCAGTCATTTGAAAATTTAAGTTTCTGTTGGGCTTGGTGTCTTCAGACCTTAACATTGCATGGTGAACCTCGACTCTATTTGTAGGTGAGGAAAACATTTTCATGGTGTGAGATAGTTGGTAAAAGGTTCCCAATATGTCATGTTCATATGGATGGTACCATTGTTGAGGTTGGTATATTTCCGTTTGCTTTAAACATTTTACATTTGTTTGAACTATCTTCTATGGGTGATTGCTATAATTTTCCTTCTTAAGGCCAGTCTTCTTTTCATCTGCACTTTTCGTGATAGTTTTATTCTCCCTTCTAATTAGGTTTCAAGTTTTAATACTGCTAGATGCAAGTCGAGTATGTACTTCACTCATGATATTGAGGCGCCTAATAACTGTGATAAGGAGGACTATCTTCTTTGGAGGAATTGTTTGAAACGTGACTTTACAATTAACGGGTAGTGCACCAGTTCTTTCCACATTAAAAATGGATTTTTATTCCTTTTCTCTCTTCATTTGGCTGCAGATGTGTTTTCTATAAAGTGACATCTCCGCTTTGTATACAATGCAGCTATTTTTGTTAACAAAATTCCTCACTCTTTCAGGCTGATGTTTGATCCATATGCAAAAATTGTATATGATTACATAGGAGGAATGGAAGATATCATAAAAGCTAAAGTGTGCATGTATCTCTTTGAAGCTGTTATTTCTTATATTGCCTTTTCTAATCAGGATTTTGCACTTATGTAATGTAATTTTTTGTGGATAGGTGCGAACAGTGGTTCCTGCAGCAACTTCTTTTCGGGAGGATTGTGGTGAGTTTTATGTGGAGGGGTTGATGATGTTATTAAAAAAAAAGAAAACTACTTCATTACCATATCCCATATGTATGACTGTTTGACTCCATTTGTCTTCTTCAGCCCGTATTTTACGTGCAATTAGAATTGCTGCTCGCTTGGGGTTTAGTATTTCAAGGGAAACGGCTCAATCTATTAAAAATCTTTCATATTCAGTGTTAAGACTAGATAAGGTATTTAAAGTGATCTTCATGTCTGCTCTATGATGTCCTCATAAGAATATCCTGGCTTAGTTGCCCCTTCTGAATTGTTTTAGGGTAGGCTTCTGATGGAAATTAATTATATGCTAGCTTATGGATCTGGCGAAGCTTCTTTGAGACTACTATGGAGATTTGGACTTCTAGATATACTTCTCCCATTTCAGGTAGATGATGTTTCTCCATTTTATTTCAGAAACTCAGTCATGGAATGCTAGCCTAATTCAGATTTGATATTACAGGCTGCTTATTTTGTTCGCGGTGGATTTCGAAGACGGGACAAAAGAAGCAATTTGCTTTTGGTAACTCCATCCTTCTTTAGGAACTTTTGATTTTAAAACATGCTGCAATTTAGACTGTTTTATTGGCATTAGTCTACAGAATATAACTTTCCTAAACTAACTTAAAACAAGTTGGTTATCATATTTATCAAATTGTGCATTAAAACCTATATGTTTGGAGACTAATAATCATTCTTCCCTGCTTTTCCATGAATACCTGCAAATAACAATTCAACTCTAGCTTACTGAATTCTTTGTTTCCACTTCCTGAAAAATGATTATTTGTATCAAACCTATGTGTATTCTCATAACTAGGTGTTTATTCTTATTCAAATACTTTTAGTGTATGAACCATTAAAGACATTCCATTTCCTTCTATTAAAGAGACAAAAGACTTTCAAGTTTTGAAAAGATAATGGAAAGGGGGAATTTCTGTTTTTCAATTTGAATATGGTTTGTTGGATTATCTCAGGATAGTTCCATCTATTACTAGAATATTAATTTGAATTGATAGAATCTTAGCACCGCATTTGCACATTTTTTATTGGATCTTCTTGAATTTGATCTGCAGTCTTTCTTCTCCAATGTGGATAAACTTTTGGCACCAAACCGGCCATGTCATAGCAGTTTATGGTAAGATCTGTGCGAAGGCATGGTCTGTTTCTTGCTTTACTTTGTTAGCCATATGTGATGAACTACTGTATATTCCTGAAAAAACAAGATAACGACAAGATGATACCTGTAAATGAGTTTTCTTTTAAGATCCTGTCCTAGGATGGCATAGCCTTGAAGATAGGAATATCAATTTAAAAGTCCCTTCTCCTTTTTTATTTCAGGGGAAATTTCTCAGAAAGAACGCTAATTTCATGACTCTTTTACTGAAGTTAAGCCCTTAATCTGCTTCAGTTTTCTTGTTTTATGAAGCAGTTCAAGTTATGTAACTATTCTGTTGCTGTTGCTTTGTTAAACATTTCCAGTGCCTATGGTTGTGACGAAAACCTCTATATCACCTTTGCCCAACATTATGTTTTGGCATGCATCAGTAGGGCTTATTTCTTGGAGAGATTCAGGGTCAGTAGGAAGAAAGGTTCTTTCCTCCAAAGAACATGTCTGAAGTAAGATGAAATCCAATATTTCATACACTCCTATGCTTGAAGAGATGATTATGGACATTAGGGTAAATGCCCATAATCATGTGTTCCATTAAGAAATAATTTATTGAATAGGTCATGCTATGAGCCTATGGGTTAATCCAGTCTAAAACTATTTAGGCTACAAACTAAAATAGGTTGGGCCAAAAATCGTCCCAATCAATTTAGGTAACAATATTTTTTGCCTGGTCTACCCAGTTTTTTGGGCTTTTCATACCAGTCCATTAGGGTAGGTCCATTTTCATATCTTGTGCATAGTATTCTCATTACTACGGTGTCATCAAAGTCAACTTTTAGTAAAGGTAGGCATGTTCTTTCTAAATATAGAAGTTCCATTCTACCTGATCATATGCAAATGTTGATTTGTACTCAAAATTAGTTATATGATTTTTGGTTAATCAATATGTGAAGATGGATCAATGTTTAGACTTATCGTTCTTTTTGTTTTTCATCCTTATAGAAATATAGTTTTTTTTTTTTTTTCTATTTAATTGAGACTTGTAACCATGTTATGTTGGATCATGATGTCAATGTTAACCATGTAAGTTAAATTATGTAGTGAATAGCCAAAGCTTGGGGCAAATTAATACTTTTTTTTTATTATTTATATAAAGATTTTTTTGAAAGTAAATGTTCTCTTGAACTCTCTTTTTAAAGTAGATTTATACTTAAAAAGAAATTGGCCCTAGGCTTGCCCTGATTGACAGGGCTTTTATGGGTATTTTGGCCTTATGAATTTTTTTCTTATGAGGACATTTTGGCCTTGGGAACGTTTTGACACTGACCCTTCATGGTTGACCCAAATTGACAATTCTACTTTGCATCTGTGCCTGGGAAACGACTTCTATGTCAGTTGATGAATCTTTTTATTTTTCTTTCTAAATTGTGACCCAAATTGTCAAATTTTTATTTTTATAATGGTTTAGGGTTTAGGTTTGATCTAAATTGAGCACCTGGGAGCCTTTGATTGAACTCAGCTACATAGATCTAAGTTGTTTGATCTCTTTCACAAGTTGTCTCTCTTATTGAGTTTGCTTCTCTCATCTTTCTAAAATTGTAGGTGTATTTTCTAAAACTAAATGATGTACATTATTAGAAATCTTTATAGGCTGATTACTACTTGGATCACCAAAGCAAGACTCATAAGGAATCTGTGCTTTCAGGGTTTCTGTCCTAGCATTACATAAGGCATTGAGTGATAGACCAAGGAATTGCTCAGTCATTGCTGCATTTAGCCTGGCACTCCATAATGGTGGAAATTTGTCAGAAGCAATAGACATAGCTAGGAGGATAAACAAACCACATGATGGCAGATTTCATGAATTGTTAGATCCTTCAGTTCTGGATGAAGAGGATTTGGAAGCTGAGATTCTTGATCTTGCTGAGTCTGTTAGAGGGTCATTGCTCCAGATGACAAATGGGCATTTGGTGTCTGGGGCTATGGCGGACTATCCTCAAGCTCCTCATTCAGATCTGGTAAGCATATATATTTTTTTTTATACATATTTTATACATGCTTCTGGACAATGATACCCGGCAGATGGACTGGACTAGTATAGAAACCATTCGTTCACCATCCCATAAGAAAGAAACTTACATTGTTTCCCACAAATAGCACACACACACACATATGCGAGCATTAGAAACAAAAGATAGAAAGTGTAATCCTTGTAGGACAATTGGCTTCTAAGTAGCTGTCAAAGTTAACGAGTGAGAAACTGAAGTATATACCTGGACAATTAAACTTTTTTGTTTGTAATTCCTTGATTGGCGATTGATGATGATGGTAGACAAGTCAATTTAACACATAAACCAGATATTTGATGATAATTGGATTATTGTTCAGGAATCTAAGGCTTTCTCTATTGATATTTTGGTTAATGGATCCTGGTTTTCATCATTAGATTGTACTGTTAATCGTTCACAATTTGACAGGTGCTCATCCCATTAACAATATACCTAAAGGTTCTCAACTTTTTTGACTGTGTGAGAGCAAGTGCTGGTAAGAAATTTTTGTCAAAGGAAGGTAGGCAAATTGATTACGAGTCCTTAGCTCGTGGAGACTTGCTCGAAGTAAGGCACGTGTTTGCTAGGATTGTATTTGATACCGTATATCCACTACATCTAGACCAAAATCAGTTCAAATAAAGCACTGGATTTCATGAGGCTATTTTGAAGTTTTATCCGAGTAGGCATTCATTGTATCAAAATTCATCGAAAATTGGAACAATGAGTGGTGAAGGTCTAGTGCCAGCGTTTGCCAGTTGAGGGGATACTTTAGGCATGAGTAAAGGACAGGCCATTTAGGCATCGGATAAAAGAGGGACCAGCAGTTTCCACCCGTAAAAGGATTTTTGCCTTTTCTTCTGTTCCTTAGTGTTAGTGTTCAAGAATTTTTTTGTCATCAAATATCAACCTTACATATTTTTCTCGTGGTGTGATGTATATATGGCAATTTTAGACTGCCAAAACATTAATTTGCATAAAAGTCAGTAATATTGAATTTATTCACGAATGAAAAACAATTTATTCATTAAATTGTCATCCGTATCTTGTCCTGAAATACAAAATTGGTTTGTCATCCTTTTTGGCTCAACATGCATGTCAAGACCAAGAGAAATGAGGTTGACTGCTTTTTGCTGTGATTAATTTTTGAAGTATTAGGCATATTGGATTAAAATGAGAATTCTTAAACTATGAGTAGAATGTTCTTTATACGATATATGATTGAATATATATTATTAGTTAACATTGTCATCTCTATGTTAGTGGTTTTTAGCTTAAAATTATTTTGTATTAAAGTAGAAATGAAGGTGGTCCATCATGTAGTGTACACGACAGATAAACAAGATACACTGTAACGGCATAGGTTGGAGATACCCCGTCCTTTTCTTTTTCTACCATCCATTTTTCTTTACTGTAATTTTTTGGGCAAATCCTTTTATGGAAACTAGTTTTCATAATACAAAAAATTTAGAGGATGTGAAGAGTTAGGGTTTATTTGTTTACTTTGTCTAAAATCAGTTTTCATTTTTTTAATTTTTTATTTTTTTTAATAATTGTTTGGTTAAAATATTTTTTAAGAATTGTTTTTATTTTTAATTTTTGAAAACTAAAGCATTAAAATTAATAAATGTATTTTTATTAATAACATTAAATCAAATATTTTTGTTATTGCAACATTATTTTTTAATTTTTTCACAATTTTTTATGATTATTTATTCATTTCTTTTATCTAAAATATATTTTTTTAAATAATTATTAAAGTTTTTAAACTTATTTTTAGCAATAATTTAACAATTTATTTCTAAAAGTATTTTAAAAAAAAATAAGCCTTTAAAAAAAAGATTTCGACTTGTAAATAATATGAATATTTCTTTTTTCTTCTTTTTCATAGAATGGAAACCCACAAAAGCTTCCTTTTCATTCGTTGAGATATTTGAGTAGAGGTTTTGTATAGGGTAAGATCATAAATTTAAATTATTAAAAAAAGTTGCTACATTCCCTCATCGTTATGTCCGTGGGAACAAAATTGTGTGTCGCCTCTTGACAACCGAGCTAAGTATCAAATGCAAATTGAAGAAAGTGAAATGAAAGACAAAATCTGAAGATACATTATTTTTGTCAAAAAAATCCCCTCTTTCGCATATCCCAAGTATGTGTGGTTTCTACTTAACAGGGGCAGGAGCAGGAGCACTTCCTCCAGTGGTAGGCCTGAAAGAGCAAACAACAAAAATGTTATTTAACATAAAAGAGGAACATGTGATAGAAACTAGGGACATATGATGTAACGACATAGTACAATAGAGCTACTTACAGTCCTACAAATACTTTAAATGAATCATAGAGTCCCCACTGTGCCCCAGTTAGGGTTCCAATCATAACTATACGAAGAGGAAGGCCACGAGTGAAAAGACCTAACATCCCAATTTTCTTTACAGCCTGTAAATCCAACAAAAGTTAGAAGACAAAGAAGCATTACACCGCAGAATGTGTTATTATGTGGTGATGGTGTGTGAATCTGTTCTTGTATGTGTGCTATTTAAGGACTCACATCACCAACAGTGGCTCCCTTGGCATTGTTGAGAAAAGAAACGAGGTTGTCAGCAGGGTGTGAGACAATTGCACACAGCACACCCGCAATATATCCTGCTGCAAAACTCACTCCAAGCTGCTTATTTTTGCTGCACTTCTCCTTAGGGATTGGGATGGCGTATTTGTATATCATCTCCACGACAGTCTCAAAGGAAGCAAATTTCATCATTGTGTCTGACACGAGAAAAAAGGGTAATTAAAAGGAGAATAAGATCAAATAAAGAAGATAAACATAGTCTATTGGCAGAATGCATCTTAGAATTGCATAATGCTAGCATGAAATTTTGTATCCCACACAAGTGCTAAAAACAAGAAAATACAAACATGATCGAGAAAATGTTGATTAGCAGTCATTTCCTTCCATGAGAATCAATCAAGCAAAGGCATTGAAGGATGCAAAATCCAAATTAATGCCAGGTTCAAACTTACATGGAATTTGGCGGCCCCAAAGAGGAGCGAGACCTTTATACAACCTGGATATCAAATCAAACTCATCAAATTTGGATTCCAAAAATCTAAAACTACTGATAAATATTAGCTATGCTGGACACATTCTATACATGTATCGGATTTGATATATACTTTAGTTATTATAACAATACAGTTATTCAAAAACTTTATTTAAAGACCAAAAAACATACCCAGAAGCACCCTCAGCCTTGATAAACTTGGGCAACCCATCTGACAAACCTCTAGCAAAGCCAGGCTGAGTTTGTACACGAACTTTGACAGCCTCCATAGGGCAAAGGGCAATATCAGCAATAACTTCAGCTGAAGCAGAACCAGCTAGATATATGACTGTTTTGTACTTCACTGCATTCTCGGGTCCTGCAAGGTCTGAGTAATACTTCTTGAAGAACTCATAAAACCCAAACTTGCATGCTCCTTGAGCACTGTACCCCAACAGAGTAGGCACCCATCCCCTGAAGAAACCTTTAGCACCCTGTTCCTTCAGTAACACTCCAAATCCTGATGAGATGCTCTTGTACTTTAAAGGATCAATCTGACAATAACATCAAACATTAATTTGTATACAAGTTTTGCTAGTACTTAAGATTGTGTGGTATGATTTGAAAAAGAAGAAACAAGCAGATTGAACATTATGATTGCAGTTAAGAACGTCATAAGCAGAACGTTTGGCAAAACACGATAACATCGATCATATAATTGAATATTGATAAGCTGTGGGACTGAAATTTATATTTTCTTTCTGCATTACTTTGAAAGGACAAAATCTTTGAATAAAATTCAAGCCACATATTGTAGAGCTTTGAAGATGTAAATAGTGCATAATTGAGGTAGAAAAATGTTGAGATAACAGATTAGAAATTAGAGTTCATTTGAAACAGCATTCTAAGAACTTTCGGTTTCTTCTAGCCTATTTCTTTTATTATTATTCATAAGAATTGAATACGCGACAAACAACAAAGCCAGTTTAGATGAAAAGGGCTATATGAATCACTCAGTCTTAGCTTTGTTGAAGACCAAGGTTTCATAGATGCTATTTACCACGAAATGTCTCTTGACATTGTTCAAGAAAATCCTAACTCCTTATCACTTCGACCAACGTGGTTGTTTTCATTCATGTGATGGCATCATTTGAAACACCGTTGGTATGACATGATGGACAAAACAGTTGAATGAAAGAGAGAACTGGAAAAAGGAAAGAAAAGAACCTGCATGTTGCACTTGACAAGATCGAGAGGAGTGACAGCCATGTGGGTAAGTCCACAACTGAAGACCCCACCTGCACTGCATGCTGCATAGTAAGCAGGAGAAAACATGCGGATTCTCTCTTTTGGTGAAAGGATCACAGGACTCTTGGCCCCATCCTGCAGGGGCGACGATGATGATGATGAATGCGATGCATTGGAGGATGATGGTATCAATGGCAACCCATGATTGGTGTTATTATTCAAATGGGACAGTGTTTTCGACGAGTACAAGAATCCAGGGACAAGAGAGTGGCGAGATTGTTCTGAGGGAGCCATTGAGACCTGACAAGAGAGTTTTTTTTTTTTTGTGTTTTTGTGTGACTATTTGCTTTGTCAATTGTAAACAGAAGTGGGAAAATAGAATGCTGTTGTTTAATATGGGCGACAAAGTGGGAGGGTTTGTGGGTAGAAAGTATGTGTGTGAATATAGCGAGAAAGAGAAGGTGAAAATGAATAACAAAACATGAATATGTATGTGACTGTGATCCTTTCATGTCCCTTATTTTCGCAATCTTCTTCTCTTAGAGAAGCTATTTCCGTTAGCTTACGACTCTGTAACCTCATTTTTCATGCACCAACTTCACCTTTGACTACGATTATATTTCATTTTTAAATTAATCTCCTTCTTTTTCTTTCCCAAGTAACGATGACTCACTGTTATCAAGTCTTGCTCTGTGTTTAGATAACAACTTAATTATATATTATATTCATTCGATTAAGAGAGCTTCAGATATAAGTATTTTAATTAAAAAATAACATATATTATACTTGTTTCTATTGTAGACATTTTGTTAAATGAATTTAACTTATATAATTATGTACAAACCTTAATGAACCCTAGACTTTAGGCATCCTGAAAATAATTTTTTACTTGTTAATAACTGTGTTTGAATACTTTAATTTTCAGTCAATAATTAGTTTTATTTTCGATATCTTTTATCATTATACGTGAAAAGTGAAATTCATCAATTAATTTTTTTTAAATATAATAAATAGGGCTAATTTTACTAAAAAACGCAAAAACTTATAACAGAGTTTACCTAAATTTAATTTCTTGACTTGAAAAACGAAAAGTAAGAGTTTTGTCGTTATTTACGGATCTTGAATAAATAATGAACGCGTGAAATAAATAAAAAATGCATACTCTTGCAAATTTTTTTTTTTTTTTCCTATAAATATAATGTTAATAAAAGATTATGCATCACATTATACAAACAACATCATCTCTTGTTAATTAAATAAAAAAATTGAAGGAAATTTAACTTTTAACAATGGATTTAGAAAGCATTTACATTCTATATTAAAGTAAATGTGGTTAATTATTGAAACTTATAGTATAATATAAACATTTAAGAAGTGCTTGCTGTAAAGGAAATTAAACTTTTTTATTGGATAAATATTAACCATATCTTTTAAAATCAATTTCGTATTATAGGAAAGTAATTATATTATGTCTTTAATTAAAGAAACCAAATATATTTTTGTTAGAGAAAATATGTAATATATTTTTTATGATAATTTATATTTATTAAAATTAATTTCCTATAATATTTCATTAATTAATATGTTATATAACGTTTAAAATATAAATTTAATTATCACCCTTTGATTATCATATCTTTATTATTTTATTGACTAGTCTAATTTTAAAAATTAAACAAAGATTGCATCTTTCCATTAAAAAAATCATATAAATTATGGTAATAGTTACTATATTATAATCAATTTGAATGATTAACGAATATATATATATATATATATATATATATATATATATATATATATATATATATATATTCAATTTAATATATTTTTCATTGAGTCAAATTGATTTATTTTAACACATCTGATTAGAATTGAGATGAATAACAAATTTGCAAGTTTCAATTCCAAGTCCCATAAACTTAATTAAATTCAACAGCATAATAGATATAATGAATTAATTGTTTTGACAAGTTTTTAAAGTTACTAAATAGAAAACCTAAAATTGAACCCAATTAATTAGATAAAAATTAAAGTAAATTCCACCATCATAAACCAGTGGCACCCTTGGTTCTCTTATAAGACATGTAGCATGCAGACTTGTTTTGATTTTGCTGTTAAATTGGGAATATGATCATTCAGACTTCAGAGCAGCCACAGTAACTGGTAATTGCCAACTCATTTTTGGATAGAATCTTACATTCAAAACCAACCTCCACCACTCCTTCGTTCCCCTCGTATCCTCCACTGTAGGCCACAAAATTAAGATCATAACACTTTCTCCATGACATGGATTTACTTTCCAACTAAGCACAAACTCACACAACTTTGTCAAAATTTTCAACACTCCCATTTCATAAACCCAAACCCTATCTCTTATTTTTCCCCTCTCCCTACCCAAAACCTTAGCTTCAATTGCAATGGCATCTGTTTCAGCCACTTCCCTCAGCTTCCAACTTTCTCTCAACTTCTCTACAGCCACTACCCAGGTTACAAATCTCACTCTATTAGTACACTCTCTCTTCAAAACTTCAACTTGTTACAACTACAAGCAACAAAAGTTATAACATCATATATGCTGTATCTCACTCTTTTGAACTCAGTCCTTTCTTATTTCATTAAATTATTCTTGTACCTGCTTGACATTACCCTTTAATGGTATTTAAAGATCCAGTTCAAATTTTTAAATATTAATGCAAGTAAGTAAAAGTTTAAAAGTTGTATAACTTGTTTTTGTACAACCACAATGTCATTATAGAGGAACATGTTTTGATTTGGGTGCTTGAAATTAACATGCAGGGGTGTTACAAAACTTCAAGTTCGGGTGCAGTTTGTGTGGGATGGAATAGGAGAAGCTTTCCTTCTTTGAGATCCTCCCGTTTCCGCATCTGTGCAGTAAGTTTTGGTCCCTTTTGAGTTCTTTTTCTTCTCAAAATTTGCAATGACAGAAGTTAATGTTGGAGTTTTGTGAATGAGGCAGGTGCAGGCACAACCAGCGACAGTGCAGAAGGTGTGCGATATTGTGAGGAAACAGCTTGCTCTCACCCCAGAATCCAAGCTTACCCCAGACACCAAATTTTCAGAACTTGGTGCTGATTCCCTTGACACAGTAAGATACAAACATTCATAAAAAATTGTTGCCTGTTCCGTTTAATTCAGATGCTATACTTATAATATTTAGTATGAACAACAAAAGTTTTAAATCCACACTTGTTTCTTATAATTTTTGTGAATGTATAACTTAATAATACATATGACCTTCTGGTTTGTTAAAATTAAACGAGTACAGTCCATTTACAGTGCAAATTATAAAACATCCAATAAGAATTGATCTTATTTGTACATTAATGAGGTGGTTATGGATGAGAGAACATTTGAATCCCTTGATGAAAGGGTGATGGTTGTAATGTTGATGCAGGTGGAAATAGTGATGGGTTTGGAGGAAGAGTTTGGCATCAATGTTGAGGAGGAAGGGTCTCAAAACATCTCAACCGTTCAAGAAGCAGCTGATTTAATAGAGAAACTGGTTCAAGAGAAAAAAGTTGACCAAACAAATGTAACTGAATGAGCTTAATCATTCAGCCATTCTTTAGGAGGCTTTTTATTTAGGTGATTAGGCCAAATGCCTTTCATTTTTTGTTTCTCATGATGAGCACCTCATTTGCTTTTGTAGGGCAAGATCTTATTAGTTGATGTTACCTTTCTTCTACATAATTGCTTCCTGCTTATTCTCATATTCAAGTGCTTCATTTCTTTCTCTTCAATAAACTTTCACATACAGATCACAAGATATGTTCTCTTTCAAACAAGAAATTTCCATTTTACACTCTTATCCTGAACAATAAAGGTCTCGAAAGAAGGAATATATAAGTTAAAAAGTTACCTGTATTGTCTGGCTTTCAAATAGTACAAGTGCATTGGCTTCAATCTATTTGTTTCTCTTTAGTTCTTTAATATAATTCGGTAACTAGAAACATTTGTTAGCATTCCCATCTTAGAATTTATCAGTGATAAAAGTAGATTGGGATTTTCTTCATTCTTCATTTCTTACCACCATATTGTTTCTATACATGGTTTTCGAATCATGTTGAAACTTCTCATTCCCTGAATTTCTTGAGTCTTGGGTCATTCTACCTCATAATATCTTGCTATGCAACAAATCAATTAATACCCGTTGAAAGTCCTTGGTATGGTTTAAATATACTACCTCATGTCATTTGATACGGTTTAAATATATGTTAGGCTACTCCACATATTGACAATTGGTTTTATGTTGAAACCTATATCAGAGTCAAAACCTAACATTTTTCTGGTTATTGTCATGGATCAATTGGAGGGGCATGTTGAAAGTTTCACATCGCCTTATTTAGTATGATTTAAATACATGTTAGCTACTTCACGTATTAGCAATTACTTTTAGAAGAAATAATACTTAAATACCATTGAACCAAATTGAAACTTAGACACAATGGTCCTATCTGCAATTTAGGAAAAGGATAACTAATTAACAGGGTATACGATTGAATGATGATGTTTGAGTGTTGTTAGAGAGAAAAGGTGAAGTTATTGCTTCACATCAACTTTTTAATGTTAACTTATGTATGAACTTCAATTATAGTATTTTCTTTTTTCCAATGCGGTTTTCTTCGTGCACGCCATTTTTTCTCTGGTTAAATGCAAAAGGAAGTAAAAATTTTCGCACTGCAGGAGAGACATATCGGGGCTTTCTCATTGGATGTGTACAGGCATGAGTGAACAGTGGTTGGGCTAAGTTAAATTTATTATTATTATTATTTGATCCAATTTAAACCAACCCACTCTTTATTGAATTGGGTTATAAATTTCCAATTTTTTTTTAATTTTAATTTTAAAATATATTTTTTATATTTTTAGAATAGACTAAATTATTTATTATCTGAATAATTTAATAATCTAATATGTTAAGGTTCCAACATAAAACTAGGGATGACAAAACGGGTCAGTCAGCTCCGCCTTTGGCCGTTAAAGCGGGACGACCTGACCCGATATAGTCATGACGAGCTGTAGACCTTGGCCGCCTCGTCAAGGGACGGTCTGGCTCGCCATAATTTAGAAAAAAAAAATTTTTAAATAAATTTTTTTAATAAATTTAATAATAAAATTATTATTTGTTTGTCAATAATTCAATATATATATATATATATATTATTTCAATTTAATAATATAAATCAATACATTATTTTAAGAAATTATAATTTAGAACAATAATAAAATTTACATAATAATAAATAAATAACAAATATATATATATATATATATAAATAACGTTAAACTTATAAAATTTATATTTTTTATATTGAAAAATTTAAATACCTATATCTTCTTGGTTGAGTAATTCTTACACCTTTAATTCAAGTAATAAGGATAAAAATAATTAGTGCTTAGGATAAACAAGGAGAAAATGAGAGAAGGTTATGTTTCAGGAAGGAGAATATTTTTTGTGAGAATGAAACTTTTTTAATTCTCTTTTTAAAATTTTTAACTTTATATATTATCTTTATAATTAATTTTTATTACAATAAAAAATTATTTTTTTATTAATTAGGAGGGTCGCGGCTGGCTCGCCTAGTCCCGTGAGTTGGCCCGACGGGTTGGTGGGCTAAAAACATCAACTCGCCTCGTCATAATATGGCGGGCTGACGGGCTAGCTCATCGGGCCTAGCCCATTTTGCCATCCCTACATAAAACCAATTGTCAATATGTGGAGTAGTCTAACATGTATTTAAATTATACCAAATGACATGAGGTAGGCTGAGACTTTCAACATAATATTTTAAAAATATATTTCTTTAATAATAATAATAATAATAATAATAATAATTAAATAATAAATACATTATTTTAATAGTTTTTATTTAATAGATTGGATTGGATAGTGGGTTAAATATATAAAACTCTTTACTTGATCCATTGGAGATTCGATTAGATTGGGTTAACTCCAATTTGACCCAATCACATATAATACTTTTAAAATGTTATATATTATTCTGTTTGTTTTAATCTTTTGAGCTTGCTACTTGTAGATAAGTTTTTAAGTACTATTATGCACAAATTCTTTTCAAAATTAGTATATATAAAGTAAAAGAAATAAATTTTGAAAATGTTTTCGAACATTTACAAGTGAAAGTCAAATTTAATGTATATTCATTTTAAACTTTTTTTTCAAGATAAAATTGGTTTCTAAATTCATATATACCTTTTTCTTTAAATTTAACAAGACTTTTTTTTTTCTAAAAAGATTAAAATAAAAACTGGTTAGAAGTTTAGAATCAAAAGACTTCTTAATTTGAAAGAAAAAAAGTGTCTATTTTTTTTTTAAAGCACTCCACTTTTGAGCTGGAAGGTTTTGGTTTCTATCCATATCAACACATTCTCCAGAGTCCAAAGATTGGAGCCTGAGAGGAAACAAATTCTCATAAAAAACTTGTTGCAAACCCACGACCCATTAATCGAATCAACGTGTTTATCATGGTGGATGGTTATAGCACCAAAAGAAGGAAATGTGTAATTAAATAGTAAAAGTGGATCAGCTTTTTTTCTCCACTCTCTATCCTTTATTGTCATGAAGTTATTAGAAAACCAAAAGAATGAACAAAGTAATAGCAGACCTTTCTCTACTTTGCAACACATCATCATGCTCCAAAACTCTTCCTAACCACTTCTACCGTTTCACATTAAGCATTGTTGATGTCACATAAAATTTAAGCATGAAGAATGAACTTTGAATCAGGTGGGTGTTTGGTGGGAGTAGAATTTGTGTTTCAGAGTTGATAGAAATTTGACAATACACTTACACCAGTGACACCATAGTGCTACTAATGATGAAAAATCTGAAGCCTTCTGTAAAAGCTAATAAGGTAGGGACCATTTTTTCTCCTTTACCAGTTCTTTGAGCTGCATGCATATATATAACACAACCCCACCATATATACATCAAATTTGTCTTTTTATAGTTTGTTTGTTCTAATGCTTATAGCACTCTCTTTATGTTTTTTTTCTTCCTTTGTTTGGTAAATATAGTGGTTCAATGACTAGACTTGGTTGCAATTATATTATGATTAGACTAACTTTTCTTCCTACGTTCTAAGTGTACTTGGATATATAGGGTCCAATGATAAACACCATGAATTGAGCCACAGCATGGCTAGCATACAGAATTAACACAGCTGGTGAAGTGATGCATTGAGGGAGGCCCCTCTCAACAATGTAAAAGTTGGCATGCAAGAGTTAGAGGTCACGATGGTGACAAGTGGCTCCGTATAGGCTAGCATGTGAGTTTGTATATGAAAAGAAAAAGAGAAGTGATGTATGTTGGATGGTAGTTGCTTTGTATCACCAGGACAAAAAGGCTTAGAAGAAAAGGAAAAGAAAAGAATCAAGGTTTACTCTATCATTATGAGAAAAGCCTTTTCACAACTGGTCAAAGGGAACGAGTTCATTCCGACATAACAACATAAAGAAAAGTCCTTAACCACCACAGGGAAAAGAAAAGTTGGAGGACTCAGCTCATTTTCCCTTTGGATTTAAATCCACTCCATTCAAGTTTCAACAGGATGGTCCTGAGGGAAATCTCATAATTAATCTTACTATTACTAGGTCCTCACATACACCACACAAACTCTTTGTATGGAAGACAAGTAGGAAAGAAAATAAGTGGAGAGTATATGATTCATCCTTAAGAAAAAATTGACGGTCAATGATGTATTTGAGAACACTAGATCACTAGCTTCTCTGATATGCTACAATATAGTGGTCAATTGCAGAGTAGGATTGTTAAATTTTTCTTGGAATCTCCATGCTGTAACTACTTTGTAGCTGTGCAAAATCTTGTCCGTACTTGTTGATCAAGAAAAGTTCATCAATCAAACAAGCTTTCGGGAAAACCAAAAACAAACCGTGTATCTCTGTATACAACCTGCAATATCCCCAAGGTGAGAAGTACTCATATTCTCTGGTGACACAGAATACAAAAAAAAAATTAGTGACTTTTTTTTTTCCAATCCTAAAACACAATACATTAGAAATTTCAACTCACATTCTAAATAATGAAAGGGACACACCACTTGTTGGTGTGGTCAAAAACAAAAAAGGTTACAAGGTATTTGTGGTTGATGCATCAACTCTAAATAGAGGGAGAACTCACAAAAGTAGAACTACAAGTCTAAAAAAAGATCTACACAATGTAATTCTCGAGAGGGAATATTAACAAGGTAGCCCACATTCCAATATCTAATTTCTTTTTCATAGCAGCAAACTTTATAAACAGACTCATATTCTGGCATTTGGAGGCCCAATGTATACAAACTTTCTTTTTGCTTCATAGTATAGACAGACCCGATACACTAAGACCCATTCCCCTCATACATCACTTTCAACACCATTTTCTAGCAAGCCTGCAAGGGAAAAGATATAATAAAGCTAACACTGTAATCATAGAATGAATTTGAAAGCTGCCCCCAATAACTAAGTGGCCCACAATTAACCCCATGCAGTAAATACTCAGTAACATTGTACCAATTTAAAATCAGCACACATACCCCTCTCTCTTTCTGGTACTGCTCGGCCTTAGTCTACTCTTTCCATTTTGTGAAAAATGAAAAATTTGCTAAGATGGAAAACCATGGCAATGACTGTGGTGTTGCTTAATCTGAGCTTTTCTTTGGAGATTTCCTGTCTCTCTTATCATGCAGATAGAATCGTTCGGCTTCCCGGGCAACCCAACATAGGCTTCCGACAGTTCTCAGGATATGTTATAGTGGATGACATCAAACACAAAGCTCTCTTCTACTATTTTGTTGAATCAGAAACTGATCCAGCTTCAAAGCCTCTTGTTCTCTGGCTTAACGGAGGTCTGCAATCTCACTTGCTACAGTTATATTTATGTAACACTACCTAAAAATTAGAATAAGTTCAACACTTTGGATAAAAAAATATATGCATCATCAGTATAGAATATGTGGACCATATAGTTTCAGAATATGCTTTAAAAATTTCCTAGAGAGACTTTAAATGTATAAGCTAAGTTATGTTTTATACAGGACCTGGTTGTTCTTCTCTTGGAGTGGGTGCATTCTCTGAAAATGGACCTTTTAGACCAAATGGGGAAGTTCTGATTAAAAATGAGTACAGTTGGAACAGAGGTACTCCATTGAGGCACTGATCATTCCATTATATGTGCAAGAATTGCTCCAATATGATAAGAGTTACTTTGTAATGCAGAGACAAATATGTTGTATTTGGAGACACCAGTTGGAGTGGGGTTCTCTTATGCTAAAGGTGGCTACTCCTACGAGACTGTGAATGATGACACAACAGGTAATCTATATTCTATTATCAATTGCTTTAGAACTTCGTTTTTATTATTATTTTTTTAATCTTTTGAGACAAATAAGCGCTTCTTTAGAAAGCTTCTTTAAATCATATCTTCTGTCAAGAAAGGCACGTACATACATATGATGTTTAGGCTTTTAAAAAGTTGAGAAAAAACAGCAATTAGTGCTAAATATGCGACACAACTTTTGCATGATACGATATACTCTCTTTGATTATTCATCCTCCCTTCATCCCTTGTCCTTACTTAGAATGCCATTGTTCTGATTTCAATATCACAGTCCTTAATTACACAAATAGCCATTATTCCCTTCTGTCATCTGAAGCCATACTTTTGATTTCTCAAGCCAGGGACAATCTTGTATTCTTGCAACGCTGGTTCAACAAGTTCCCTCAATACAGGCACAGAGATTTGTTTCTAGCAGGTGAAAGCTATGCAGGTATGCATGTCACGTCACTGTTCATTCACCATTTCTAGCAAAACTCAAATTTCGAAATGCCAGTTGCACATATAGCAATCGCTATTATTTGTTGTTACATATGTTTCTTCATCAAAAAACATCAGGGCATTATGTTCCACAACTTGCAAAGCTCATGATTGAAAGAAACAAAAAGGAGAAGTTATTCAATCTGAAAGGCATAGCCGTAAGTAACAAACATACCATTTATTTATCAACCATGATTCTTTCTTAGGACATTGCTAACAATTCATAATGCCAAACTGGTCTCTGTTATTGCAGTTAGGTAATCCAGTTCTAGAGTATGCCACTGACTTAAATTCAAGGGCCGAGTTCTTCTGGTCTCACGGATTGATATCAGATTCAACGTACAAATTGTTCACCACAGGTTGTAATTATTCCCGCTATGTCAGTGAATACTATAGAGACTCAATTTCTCCGCTTTGTTCAAAGGTTTTGAGGCAAGTAAGCAGAGAAACCAGTAAGTTTGTGGACAAATATGATGTCACCCTTGATGTTTGCATTTCATCAGTGCTTTCACAGTCCAAATCTATTTGTCCTCAAGGCCAAGTGAGTTTTCTCTCATTGTTTCCCGTTATGGATGTATCTTATATAATTTTTAGCTATTATACTTCTGGAAATTTTGTTTATCAAATTGGCATGTTAATTATATCTTAAAGAACTTGATACCCTCTTGCCCAACAGAAAACAAATGAGAGCATAGATGTATGTGTAGATGACAAAGTTACTAATTACTTGAACCGAAAAGATGTACAAGAGGCCCTCCATGCAAAGCTTGTTGGAGTCCGAAAGTGGGATGTCTGCAGCAAGTAATTTCTTCAAAATTTAGAAAAAAAGGGAAAAAAAAGTTTATTATTTATCTAGTTGGTGACTCTAAATGATTTGCTTAGTTTGTCATGAAAGACTAGTAATCATAGTAATATTACTCTATAACTTTTTTTTACCAATCCCAATAACATGCATTGTCACATTGTGTGTTAGTAACAGCATTTTGGACTACGATATGCTCAATCTGGAGGTACCTACACTCCCTATTGTTGGATCACTCATAAAAGCTGGAGTTCGGGTCTTAATTTACAGGTATAAGTGGACCTAAAATGTTTCCCTCTCAATGTTGATTCTCTTTACTTGAACTTGGTGGTTCATATGTATACTTCTCCAGTACCATGTACCAATTAACATAACTATGTTTTGCTTTTATTACAGTGGAGATCAAGATTCAGTAATTCCACTGACTGGAAGCCGCACCTTGGTTCAAAAGCTGGCTAGACAACTAGGACTGAATACAACAGTCCCCTACAGAGTATGGTTTGAAGGCCAACAGGTACATACTAATACTACTTAACATCTTCCTTAAACTGTGTTATATTTCTATGCACAACAATGATAGGAAGCATTTTTCATGGAAGTAAAACAGTATAAAACATAATCCAACTTATGTATGTGTGTTGTATACAAATTATGAACTGATGAGTTTACAATTTTTTTGTTTAGGTTGGTGGATGGACTCAAGTTTATGGCAATATTCTCTCATTTGCTACTGTCAGAGGTGCCTCCCATGAAGCCCCTTTCTCACAGCCTGAAAGATCACTTGTTTTGTTCAAGTCATTCTTGAAAGACAGGCCTCTACCTGAAATTTTCTGACACAACTTAGGTTTTTTCTAGTCTAGTTGAGAGATTGTAAGTAAGCCTAAAATCTGTACTGAATAATTATTAAAGGAATGTTTTAATTTCAAAAGAAAAGTTGGTAAAAGAAAATTGTAAGGGGAGGGGAGGGGGGGATGTGAGTCACATGCCAATTAACTTCCATGATGGGGTGCTTGTTTGTTAATTGGACTGTCAAATGTAAAATGGATCCTTGGCTTAGAGCCCTTAATGTAAAAATGTAGTCAGAGAATGCAGCATGGGTTTTTTTCTAAATTTGTCGTCATTCAAGAGAACTATTCCTGCTGCATAAGTTGAATTTGTCTTCTGTGCAAACAGCAGCAATTTCACGTTAGATAGCTTGTGTCAAATGGTGTGTACGCAAAGTGACATAAAAACAGCAATGGAACAGTATATATGTTCTAATAGTACTTCTCGCAAACTAAAAAAACTTTAAAATTTGGCTTAACTAACTTCTGCTGTTCTGCTTTATAATGAACAATAGTCACTCAGAAAAGTAACAGCATGCGCAGCATAATTGATAGTTCCATCATGATAAATCATTCTATTTTTCAATAACATGTACATCTATTTTATCGAATAATTCCTTCTACAAATGTTTTGAATAATCATTCTAACCAAGCAATTCCTATTTTACCATGGAATTCTTATTTTCAATAAAATGTACCACTAAACCATACTTTTTTACTTTCACAAACTGGTGCTTACTTTGTCCATAGGAAACAGTGTGACTTTCAAGAAGAAGACAAAACGGGATGCCTCCCCCTATCTGTGATAAGAAGCTTTCCAACTGTCCATGCTTTAATAATGGCGCTTAAAACTGTCAAATAGCTTCACCATGGTGATGAACCTAAACTAGGAATCTATCTATATGCTCGTAGGCATTGACTTTTGTTCTATCTACCCTTGACTGTGACAGATTCATAATTTTATATAACCAAATTTTATATTTTACGTACCCTCTAAGCTTAAAACCATGTTTTGTCTTCCATGCCACCATCTATGAGTTGTTGGTTCAGCTGAAGACAAAATCATTTCATGAGGAGAGCTTGTACAAATTCATTGGCCTCACTTCTGATTCTGATCCTATTTCTCTTCTGAACAAGAAACATGCGTTGAAATGGTTTGCTTTTTTAGCCCTTTATCGTACAGAGATGCAAAAAAAGTAAGACCAATCAATTTAGTATTCGAATTTGATGTTGTTGCATGTAGAGATAGCAGCAAAGTGAATGTCTTGGTTGTGTCTCTCATCCTTTATAGGTGGTATAGCTCATACTGATTGTTTCTCTAGTCCTTTAATTTGAAATTTGTTTCCTACACCCAAAAGAAAACAAGAGAAAAAATTATAATAGATGAAGATTATTTTTTTTTTTTAAACGTAGAAAGAAATCACTGAAGTATTTCTTTTTTTGTCCTGCTTCCAACAAAATTGAGAGAAGAGATTACATTGTCTTGTTAAAAAAGTTGTTGGAGGCTAGTAAAATTGTTTTCAATGTGATATTTTAAAATTAATTAGCATAATTTTTTAAGATTATTCTAATATTAACTGGAGCTGATCTTTCAGACTTCTTCGCGTATTGAATTATTTAATAAATTATCGTAATTAATTTTATTTAGTGATCCTGCTTCTTAATAATAGTTTAATTTATCTCTTTTCTTAATCAAAAGGGTGCTGCACATAGAGCAGAAGAGCATTCTCTGCCTAATTAAGAACTTTAGGATTTTTTAATTCGTTCCTGAGGGTTGTCAAATAAAAATCATACTTTTGATCTGTCCTTGAAATGAAACTACTTCAACACAAATTCTAATTAGTAATTATTTAGACAATAATTTCCATGTTAATATCTTACATTAAAAAAACTGGTCTCTGCACCGAAAGCAAGGACTGTTACGAGGCATAAAACTTCATCCCACATTTTCTATATATATATATATATATATATATATATATATATATATATATATATATATATATATATATATATATATATTTGTTTATTTTTATCATGAGAATTATTTTAAGATATAGTCTGTGTGTGTTATTGTAATTTTTATTATGAAAAAAATTATTTTAAAAAGAGTAAAAAAAATAAATGTGAAGAGATCTGTATCCCATTCAGTACAGAGTGCAGAGTCGATGACGGTGATTAAGAAAGTGTATCGAGTGGCACCTGATCTGGTGATGGTGTGATTCTCATCATTCCCTTTGCTGAAACCTTAATCTTCCTTCCCTTCCATTCTCAATCCCAACCAAACTCACTTTTCTCTCTGCTCAATCAACTGACCCACCACCACACCACTTCCAACTGAAAATTTTCTACTTCTACCATATAATAATGCTCTGTACTCTTCTTAATTTGTTAATTCTTATCATACAAAGTTTGGAGTAGAACAACTTTGTCAAGTGTCTTGTGTTGTGTGTCTCAACTCAAAAAGCTATGTACATGAAGTGCCCATCATCATTACCATAATTCACAACACAACCCTCCCATTTCTCTCTCTCTCTCTCTCTCTCTCTCTCTCTCTCTCTCTCTCTCCTTAAAAAAAGCAGATTACTTTGCCTGCTATTCCGTGCAATTTTCCCTTCTAATTTGACTTTACATCCCCACAAAAACCATCTTTTAATACCATATGGCAAAACAGCAAAACCAGGTTAATACCCTCTTTCATCTACACAACATCTACATTAACAATACAAATATAATTATTTATTTTTTTATTTTTTTTAAAAGCACCTTTGATATAATGTGCTTATATTATTCATCGTGACTTTATTTTAGATCTTACGTTTCATTACATGATTACATCAAATGCATGTTTTAATTGCATTGTGATTGTCATCTGCATTAATTGGTGGTTGTAGATCCATGATTGGATCTGATTGGTGTTGTACATGAACATTGTTAACATTTTGCATGTGGGAGTGGACATTACAGGGCAAAGGCCAAGAGAAGGAATTGGAACTCGAAAGTGGCGTGTCTGAGGCTGAGATTGAGGCCCCATTGCCTCTCACTGTGACTTCTCGGGTATGATATTGATAACTTTTTTAATTTGTGTCATTATTATATTTGAAACTGCAAGTGCATATGCATGGATCAATCATGAGGGCCCTAAGTTTGAGGTTTTTGACATTGTATACTGCAGGTTTTGTATATGTTGGGAGATATCACTGCAGGGCCTGCGTTTAAGTTCACGCAATGGCTCCAATTAGTTCGTAAACGCACCGCAAATCATCGTTCTTCTGGCTTCCCTCGCCGCACTTCCATCACCATGTCGTCTAGTTCTTGGTTAGTTATTACTTTGGAGGGTTATTTTTTTGGTAAAAAATTTACATACAATTCTTTAGGTGTTTTTGGTGCTATTCTCCAATTGGAATTGGAATTCTTTGTTGATTGATACAAACCTTTATTCCGCTGATTACCAAAATAAAACTCTATTTTTTATGGAAGAAACCACCAAAAATATCTAAGGAACTGAATCTAAGTTTTGTTATTTTCTTTACCTTTCGGGTGGGATTGTAAGAAGTGAGGACATGTTTAAGTGAAGTTTGTGACTATTGCTTATGTTCATCATTTGTGGCCAGCATTAGAGGACGGTTGGAGGATCCCAAACTGGAGCTGCACCCTGATCAGACAGAAATTAGCTTGTGGGAGAGGCTGGGAAAGGCTGCAATGTTGGACATTGAGTCGAGCTCTTTTTCATGGGACATGCTCTCTTCACTGCACCACACTGAACACAGCAGTAGCAATGAACAATCCGAGGATGAGATGAACAAAGCTCTCGAGGTTCATTACTTTCTTAATTGTTGTGTACAAGCAGTAGTACAGTAAATTCTTTTTGTGGCTAATTCTTGAGGGTCAAATAGCAAATAGCAAATAGGGTTAGTGTTTTAGATCCAGCTTGTGTTTTTGGATTGTTTACATATGTTTCACATGTAAGCCAATGCAGAGACTGTGTACGGATATCCTTTTTGGATTTTTTTTGTCTGTGGCAACTTTTATTTATGACTATAAACTTGCTCCGATAATTTTGATTTTGTTTAGTCAGATATGGAGAGGGTAAATGTGGTTTTGAGCGTGTTGATAATTGTTAGCTTTATAAGTTGGAATGATTTTTCTGATGGTATAGCCTTTGTCCTATAAACTTTCAAGTTCATTCTTTATATGGGAGGTTTTTAGACTAACATAATAGTAATTATGTTTTGTATTTTCAATATAGAAACAAATTAGAGAAAGTAAGTATACATCAAATGTGCATTTTCTTAATTTCTAGCTTAATATCTTCTCAGTCGTATTCTCATAGGTAACTGTAAATTCTGGAGGAGTTGTCTTCTTTGCCTTTTTCAATTTACCTGGGAGTGCTAATACTTGTCCAAAAGAAGCAGCAGCAGTTATAAAGATATCACCATCAAGAATGGCAACACAGTCTGAACGCCTTGGCTATGAATTTGCCAAGTGGTTGGGAGTCCAAACTCCACAGGTTGTTCCCGAAGGTTTCATAACACAAGCATCACATCTGCAAGCTTAGCCTAGTAGACTAATTTTACCATATTCATTTTCCTCATTAATTGGAAGATGCAGGCTAGAGTCATTCACAATACCAGTTTCGAATGGCAACAAATAAAGGAAGCTGCAGAGAAAGCTAGAGAAGCAGCAAATTCTGAGGGTGATGAAATTGGTGAGGTGACATGTTTTGAACTTTTGGAAGCACTTGAGCTTAGCCGGTGCCTCTTTTTTATGAGGTGCGATCAAATCTGATTTTAATTAGTTTGGGTTTATAATAAGGCAGCACAGAATACCTTTGCTTTCTTTGTCACTTCCAACAACTCTGGTTTAAATGCAGACATTGCAACTTTGCTGCTTCTGATTTTTTATTTTTTTTCATTGAATTTTGATAAGCTCATTATTCGACTGTTTGACTGCACTTGACAGCCTAAAGCAAATCTTTGAAATAGATTATTTCTCTTTCTCTTATACAATAGTCCCATCACCGTCTGTGACAAAACAAGTGTCGTTCTTGATACCATGTTATTCTTGACTTGTCCAATTTTTCAAACATCCTATATAGAAGTTTATTCTAGCATTTGTAGGAAACTGGAAAACTAATGAAATGTTTATTCTTTGGAAATCCTGATAGAATTTTTTATACCCTACCCCTATTGTTCCCTTTTACCATTCCATACTGATCATCAAGACCTCCTGGGTAATAAACCCTAGTGTCTGGACAGAGGAAGCCTTTTATAAAGGTTTCCTCTGTTTAGAGAGTATCAGTTTTTGTTCTGCCAGGTGTTTGGCATCAAGGTATAGGCATATGTAGAAAAGGAGATACACGATATTCCGATTTTGAATAGAAATGTATACAAAATATTGTTTCTTCATTTTTAACATGTTTGCCACTTAACGATGATGTTCTGTTTCCTGTAAATAATTAGGTTTGTTTATGCTAGGGCTTCTATGCTGTCATAGTTTATGCAAGTACGAAATCATCCAAGAAATGGTATCTTTAGGTCAATCTCAATTTAACACTAACAAATGTTTTTGACAAGTGGGAACCACCTAGAAATAATCAATTGATTCATTTGTCTTTCTCTTCTACTTCTGATGGTAAGCAATGTGTTTGAAGTGGCTACCCTGAAAAGAAAATATTTTATTCTAAAGCATTTATGTGCTCATCTTATAGAGAGCATGTTACCAAACCCTGTTTTCACTAGTTTCTAGAGAAAAGAATGAAAGTCGTTATCATGGCATTTGCTGAAAGAGAAAACATTCTTAGAGGACCCTTGTTTCTATGACTATATGTAAATGACTATCATTGTCATCTTAGTGTAATTTAAAATAGGAAAAGTGGCTGGCTACCTACAGCCTATAGTTCAACTGGAGAAAAATACTTGGCTGCTTCGCCAAAATAAATTTTGATTATTATTTCTAAAATTTCACCATCTTCTTGTAGTTATGTACACGGTTCACCCTTGCTTGAAAACTCTAGTGCATTTGAGTCAAAGGAATCCGCAGAAAGAACATCAGAAGCTCTTGGCAGGGTGCTAATGTTGGACCTTGTCATCAGAAATGAAGATAGGCTGCCTTGCCGTGAGCTTAGATGGCGTGGGAATCCAGCAAATTTGTTGTTGGCTGGAAAGATTTTCTGTGCAAATACAGATGTTCTGGAAGAGGCTTTTGATTCTGCAATTGACCGATATAGACCGAAGATGATAATGGCATTTCAGAAAGAAAGAAGGTCAACTTCAGTTGATTGCAGTCTCGATTCTCACAATCCTGGCTTGACATCACATTCCTCTGATCTTTCAGATATCGCAGAATCTCCAATATCTCCTGCCATGCACCTTACAAGTCAAACATCAGGAGAATTAATGTATCCGGACATCAACATAGTAGCCATTGATTCTGGTGTTCCTCGGCGACCCCCTGCTGGAAAACGTGCAAATGATCAGGTCAATTATCCTAAGTTGATTGAATTGCTAATCAACAGTTCCGAATTTGCCTCAAACCTGATATACGATGTAACTGGAGGGAAATTAGGATGTCCTCCATCAGAAGACATGGACAAAATTGATGTACATGGAAATGACGTAATGTCTGTAGTTCATGCATTCCGTGCTGGTTTCCGTGCTGCTCTCAGAGATCTGCAAGGATTTCACATATTCCTAGTCACACTTCACCAAAGACTTGATACTTTGTTACGATTATTTATGAACATTATAAGCAAAATATCTTTGGGAGAATTTGACAAAGAAGATGGTATGAATCCTGACTCACCTTCACTGACACCTGGCGGGCATTGTTACTCTCCATCAAGCAAGGAGAGGCTTAGTAATGATAACCATCACGATTATATTGATTCAGACTCACAGAGAACTGCTTCAAAGGCATCATTTTCAGGCAACAAAGATTGCAGTGACTCTACTCCTATGTCAAGAGAAACTTGGCATGGAAAGTTCTCTAAAGGAAATGGGGAATCATTTCGTAGTCTCCGTTTGACTAATAAGCTCCGTGACTTCCACAAATTTGCCAAGGTTGGTCTCATAGGTAACATAACCTTGTCTTCTAGTCACATGGTTTCAGTGCAGCTTTTGGAGTAACCCAAATAGTTGTATTGAACAATTTTTCCACTAACATATTGGGTGGTTCTTGAACAATCACTCCTTGTTATATTATTCTAAAATGCAAAACTAAAGGATTTATTGCGTGTTTACATAAAATTGACCAATGTGGGCAAGGCTTATAGTGTTCTCACAACAATGTGTGGTCTTCATGCTTCCATGAGTAAGAACACAGATTCTTCACATATTGTTGCTTGCGACCAAAATGTGGGTTTTCAAATCATGCCAACAGTTGCATTTCCCCCTCCCCCCTCTGCATGTGCTAATCTCATACTCACGTAATCCTGTGTCTCAGGGTTGACTAGCAAATAGGAATGTAAGATTAAGTGCAACGTAATTTGCTGTTTCTTTACCATATAAAACACTGTTTTTACCATGTGTGTTCCTTAATTGTCCACTTTTTTTATGACTGTATCATGTTCCAGGTTGATGCTGAATCCAGTAAAGAATTGGAACAGTGGAATGAAATGCTTAAAAGTGATGCCATCAAACTGTGCCAGGAGAACAATTTCAATCCAGGATTTTTCGAGGGTAGTGATAATAACTGTGTTGTTGATGCATATGAACTTAAGGTTATCTTCACTTTATTACTTTCAAAGCTGAAATATAGTCTCCTTTCAGTTATGAAGGATTTCCATTCATGACGTATCATCCTTTTTAACTTTCAGGTTAGACTTGAGCATATTCTCGAGAGAATTGCATTGATATCAGATGCTGCAAGTACTGAGAAACCTTCAGCAGTGACAAGCAATCTGTTCATTGGTGGAGCATTGGCGGCAAGATCTGTATACACACTGCAATACTTGGGAATTACAAATATTTTGTGTTTGTGTACCAATGAAATTGGACAGTCAGAAACTCAGTATCCTGATCTATTTGAGTATAAGAATTTCTCTGTAAGTCGTATTTACTTGTATTTTTTACCCTCACTTACTCTAATGTCTTATTTGCTTAGATTTATTTTAAATATAGTTCAGCTTCTCCTTGATGTCTACTTCCCTTAGGTGACTATCAATGTAATCTAATTTAGGGATAATCAAGTGAAATTTTCATTATAGCCTTGTGCTCATGCTCATTCTTCACTTTAATGTCTTTTTAAGTTTCTAATGTCTATTGTCAACTACCAGTGATCCTGAAAGTTTAAGCTAAGTGCATGACCATAATGTTTTTTCTTTCCCCCTACACCCCCAGATTTGAAAGCTCTTTGTGCTCCAAGCATGGACAAAACAATGACGTGCGTCTTACCTTGTGCTGAAAAATTTAATGTAATTATTAATGAAGTAACAAGAGTTACACTATTGACCAATTACCCGTAGAGGTTTTCATACCATCTTAACAACCAACCAACTATCCCAAGTCCCAACCCAAATGCTTTTCTATCTTTGATTTGGATTGAGAATCTACCTTGGTCAAAATATCCCTAATCCTTCTGATTAACAAGTGATGGATTCGAGAAATCAATAGGGGTAGATCTTGCTTGGCAATTCTCTTTTCTTTTCTTTTTTCAATTGTTAGTATCTTTCTGATTTCCCTTGGCTGATAGCTTATTCTAACACAGCCAAATGTCAACCTAGCTCTAAAGAAATAGGTCTCAATTTTCTTGATTGAAGATATGAATTGTCATCCAATATGATATGATGCACTCTAGTTCTTCTGCTTTTTCTAATATTCTTTTCTATAAACTTACTTTTAATTTTACTTTTGTTTCAGGAATGCCTTCATTGATTTTGTTCATTGTCCCTTTTGAGCAGGTATGTGACAGTGATGATTACAACATCAGCAGCATATTTGAAGAAGCATGTGATTTTATAGATCATGTTGAACAAACAGGTCGAAGAGTTTTAGTTCACTGCTTTGAGGGGAAAAGCAGAAGTGTCACGATGGTCCTCGCATACTTGATGCTCAGGAAGTAAGTAAAAATAAAAATTATACTAGTTATAGTACAAAATGATACTGCCTCGTATTCTTTTGCATATACTCTACTATTCGTTGAAAAAAAAAAAAAAAACCTAGATTGAGTCCCTATCAAAATATGTGATTTTCAATAAATATCAGTCTATAATACTCATCAATTCTTCTATAGTTAAATGGCATGAAACAAACTAATTTGTCACCTGGCAACTATAAGTTCATGTTCTTTGATACGTAAGATTACTGCTAGTGGGTGACAGTTGCGACATGTTTTGAACTAATTTTTTCATTGTGCAGGAAGTATACTTTATTAGAAGCATGGCAAGCTCTGAAACGAGTTCACTGTCGAGCACAACCCAACGACGGTTTTGCAAAGATCTTGTTGGAATTGGATCAGAAACTATATGGAAAGGTTACGATGGAATGGCATCAGCGGAAACCAATGATGAAAGTCTGCCCCATATGTGGGAAGAATGCTGGACTAAGCAGCAGCTCACTCAAGCTCCATCTGCAGAAATCACATAGAAAGCTGTCCTCTGGTAGTGTAGATAGTGCCATGACCATGGAAATCCAGAAAGCATTGACAGCTTTGAATATTGGCCGTGGAGGGAGTGTCAGCCCCACACAAAGACAACAATCTCATCCAATAATAACAATAGAAACTGCAAACCCATAGATTTTACGCCGCGAAATATTAGCAGGTTAGAAAATTAGGTGGAGTAAAAACCCAAAAGCCAATATCGCCCAACGGGGTGGTTTTGATTTAGTTTTTCTTCAACTAAGTGTGAGTGGGTGTAACGGCTCACCATTTAGTGTTTTCATTGGACCACGGGGGCAAACCAGTTATCAGATTACTTGTTGTCATGCAATTATATTAAATAAAGCTTTCAGACCATAAATGTCCAATCATCGCATGCAACTTTAAAATTTCTTGCGTTCAAAAAAAAAAAATGGTCACTAACGTACTTAGCATATCCGTGGAAGACGTTTTTTCACTCACCCCAAACCTCGCTGCGTTGATTATGAGCAAAACGTGCCTGAGACTACTAGCATTCAATTAAAAGCTTTATGTCCACTGACGAACTAAACAAACTATGACTATGTTTATAAATAAAATTTTATAAAAATAATAATAATTAAAAAAAAAAATACAACTTGGTAAAGGAAAACCACGTTACACAGGAAGAGCTTCTGCTAGTGAGTCCGGGGCACCACTACTACCGTTGAGCACAATCACATTACCATCAGAATCAGCATCCACTATAACTGAGTCACCCTCTTTAATCTCTCTTGCAAGCATCTTCTCAGCCATGCTATCCTCCAAAAGTCGCATGATGGCTCTTCTCAGAGGCCTAGCCCCATAACTAGGATTATATCCTTCCTCAACCACCCTCTCCCTAAATCTTTCTGTCACTGAAAGATCAATCTCTTTGGCTTTCAGTCTTTCAAACACCTCCTTCAACATTATGTCAGCTATCTCCTTTACCTCCAGCTTTGTAAGTTGCCTGAAAACAATCATTTCATCCAACCTGTTCAAGAACTCGGGCCTAAAGTATTGCTTTAGCTCCTCAGTCACCAAGCTCTTGATTCGATTGTAAGAGCTATCCTTCTCATCATAATCAAGGTCAAATCCAATTTTGCGGCCTCCTTTCTCAATCACGCTGCTTCCAACATTTGATGTCATTATTAAAAGAGTGTTCTTGAAGTCAACAGTTCTTCCCTTGCTGTCTGTTAGTCTTCCATCTTCAAGGATCTGAAGCATCATGTTGAAAACATCAGGATGGGCTTTCTCAATCTCATCAAAAAGTACAACAGTATAGGGCCGACGCCGAACTGCCTCAGTCAATTGACCACCCTCCGTGTAACCAACGTATCCAGGGGGCGAACCAATGAGTTTGGAGACTGTGTGCCTTTCCATAAATTCACTCATGTCAAGCCGAATCATGGCTTCTTCAGAACCAAAATAGTAAGCAGCCAATGCTTTGGCCAACTCTGACTTCCCGACACCAGTTGGCCCAGAAAAGATGAAGCTGGCAATTGGTCGATTAGGATTCTTTAATCCCACCCTGGCTCGACGGATGGCCCGGCTAATTGCTTTTACTGCTTCATCCTGACCGATGACTCGTGTGTGTAAAGTCTCTTCCATCTTGAGGAGGCGATCAGATTCATCAGTTGAGACTTTCTCTACCGGAATACCAGTCCAGGAGGAAACAATATGTTGTATGTCAACTTCAGTCACCATGGGACCTCCATCTCCTGCCTCGCTCTCAGCCTTGCTCATCTCCTTGCCTTTTTCTATAAGTGTGGATATCTGAGCCTTAAGATCCATTTCTTTATCTCGTAGCTCTCCAGCCTATTAGAATATTCATAAATAATCAACACAACAATTTGCAGATATAATCAAGTATAATTGAGCGAGGAACAAATCACTGCACTATTTTAGAAGTCGATTTACAATTATTTTACTGGGGGAGAGGGTATCGAGGGTACCCTCCATTCTGAGTTTACTTCAGAGGGTACCCTCCATTCTAAGTTCACTTCTGGTAAAACATAACTTTTGAAATAGCAACATTTTTTTTTGTTGACTATAAAATTTTATAGGTCAAATTTTGGGTAAAAGCGTATTACCTTTTCAAAGTCTTGATTGCGAATAGCTTCTTCTTTATCCTTCACAATCTGCCTGACCTCCTTGTCAAGTTCTCTTGCTTCTTCAGGTAACTAGATGTATGTAAATTTAGCAAAATTGTTCTATAATAGACAAAAGAACTCCTGCTTATGATTAAGTAGACTAACAATATACCTGCGCATGTTGAAGCCGAACACGGGAACCTGCTTCATCAATTAAATCTATAGCTTTGTCGGGCAAAAATCGATCACTACAAGACATTCAATTATTTATAAGCTAGAAAATATTTAACACACACATCATGAAGAAAATAACAAGATATAAGAAGCACTTTAATTAATTTATAATAAATAACTATATTAAAGTTCCAAAATAAATCTACATATTATAATACATTTCAAAGAGAAAAACTAATATACATTAGAAAGATTAATATGCATGAAAATTTTTCAGCAACATAAAATAAATGTCTATCAAAGCATAAATGAAAAGATAAAATGACGAAAAAAATGCAGAGGGTTTAAACATGACAAACCTAATATATTGGTGTGACAGCTGTGCAGCAGCTACAAGTGCATCATCTGTATAACTGAGCTTGTGATGAATCTCATAGCGTTCCCTAAGCCCTTTCAATATTTGTATGGTTTCATCTACAGTTGGCTCTGGCACTTTAACTGGCTGGAATCGCCTCTCCAGGGCTGGATCCTTTTCAATGTGTTTCCTATATTCATCCAGCGTTGTGGCTCCTATACACTGCATATAAAACAAAATTTTGCACACTTTCTTAGTGTAGTTCCAAGTTCCAGCTAAGCAACAGTAAGTGCATATAATAACTTGAGCGTTGCAGTAGGTTTGATACAAGCATAACCAGATAACTTCAACTTCACAACCAGTCTACAGATACAACATCACTCTGAATTCTTATACCATTTAACAAAAATTGAACTGCTGAAAATGCAAATGGAATTTTTTGAAAATTAAAAAAAAATTCCAGAACTAAATATTAAAAAATCCACATTATTTAATTCAATTCCACGCCAAAAGCAAATGATTATTAATCAGAATTCTAATTAATAAATGAATTTACCAGATCTAATAAATACATTAAGTTTTTAACTATTTATGATTTAAAAAGAAATATTGAACAACCAAAAGACAAGGTATTCCTTTCTCTAAAACACAGACTTGACAATATAGCCTAAATATGTGATTATCGACCAGTAAAACAGTAACGCAAAATAGAACAAGTCATTTTTTATTCTTTTGTGTTTATGTTTCAATGGCAACACAAACTCAATTTTTTACCCCATCCCTAACACATTACAGAAATTTATTTTGATGTCAAAATCAAATGGCAATACATAGGTAGACTATGTATTCCTTTCTCTAAAATATAGACTTGCATAAATAGCCTAAATATATTATTGACCAGCAAAGTGGCAACACAGAAGAGAACAAGTGTTTTATACTTTGATTTGTTTCAATGACAAAGATTAATTGCAACACAAGATCAATTCTTCCACCCCACCACACCACACCCCCTAAATCAAATGGCAATATATTTTGAACATGATGGGATTACCTGCAGTTCACCTCTCGCAAGAGCTGGTTTTAGTATGTTTGCAGCATCAATTGCCCCCTCAGCTGCTCCAGCTCCAATTAGAGTGTGTACTTCATCAATAAAAAGTATTATCTCATCACTTTGTTTGATTTCCTCCATTAGTTTCTTCAATCTCTCCTCAAATTCTCCACGATATTTAGTTCCAGCTACCAGTAGACCCATATCAAGGGTTATAACCTAAAAATTTAATGTCAGAACTCCCCTTAAACACTAAATCTACTGAAGTACAATTTTATAGACCATAAGATCAAATAATTTTTATTAACCTTCTTTCCTTCTATAGTTTCAGGAACATCACCATTTGCAATCCTTTGGGCAAGCCCTTCGGCAATAGCTGTCTTTCCAACCCCAGGTTCTCCAATAAGACAAGGATTATTTTTTGTACGTCGACCCAGAATTTGAGTGACACGTTCAATTTGTGGCTGCCTACCGACAACGGGATCCAATTTTCCCTATAATTTTGGTTTTTAGTGTGTAAGAGTCAATAAAAAAATAAGTTATACCTTAACATAAAATGAAAACTATCTGCCATTGATATGAAAACTAGGAATTGGCCATTACCTCTTCTGCTAACTTGGTCAAATTGGTACCATACTCTTCCAAAGTTGGCATTTTATTATTATTACTACTTCCAGGACCAACAGTAGCACCAACACTGTCGGCACCCTCACCAACCATTCGGATAACCTGTAACATTCAGTGAGTGAGAAAACGAGAAAGATTTTACACACAGATAAAAACACACTTCATATATATATATATATATATATATATATATATATATATATATATATATATATATATATATATATATATATATATATATATATTTAATTGCAATAAAATACTAGCCTGAGCACGAATATTGTTTGGATCAGCACCCAAATTTTCGAGTACTCGTGCTGCTACACCCTCACCCTCTCGAAGAAGACCAAGAAGCAGGTGCTCAGATCCAATATAATTGTGACCTGAAAATTTCTAGGAATGAGCTAAATTGCAGATTGGAGTTCATTCAAAACTGAATATAGTTCAGGATTCTTAACTTTTCTTTGTAATCCGTTAGTTCTGAATCCTCCTCTTTATTAATTTGTTATTTTTCAATAATAATTTAGTTGACTCAACTAAAACAGATAAAGACACAGGAATAAACCAAGCCATACCAAATCACTTCTATCTTTTTCGTACAATAAATGACAATTTAACAACAAAAACAAGGGAAACCTAGAGAGATTGGAAAAAGGAAGAAAAATTCAGGCAATTCAAATGTTTTATTGTAACTAAGTAATTTCATATACAAAAGAACAGAGGCAAAACAGCACGTACCAAGTTGGCGAGCTTCCTCTAGTGAGAGTTCCAAAACTCGTTTTGCACGGGGAGTAAATGGAATCTCAACTGCAACAAATCCACTACCCCTTCCGATTATCTTTTC